TTTATATTCAAAAGAAGTTCGGGTGAGTTTGTAAACACAAGATCAAGTATATTATCAGTTCGTGTTGGAGTAGTGACAAACTGGAAAACGTTAAAGTCCAGAAGTGTGTTTACAAAGTTGACTTCCTCACCAAAGTTGACTTCCTCACTATCGATAGCTTGAACAAACCCATAACCATCTAGCCATCTTATATTTGGGGTAGTTGAAATCGCCCATTAAAAACACACCGTTATAATCGGTGAGGTTTAAACTGCTGAGAAGTGTGGACAGATGAGCTTATGAAACACTCGTCTGCCTTCGGCGGCCAATAACAAACAATGAAGAGGAGATTTTTGGAGCGACCGATTTTAATTTCAACCAAGACAACCTCCAGGTCTGAGGAAACATATAGCTCGCTAAAAGTATAAGAAGATTTAACCGCTACCAATACGCCACCGCTAACTTGATATAACCGATCTTTGCGATAAATATCGTAGCCAATGGGTAGAATTTCATTATTGATTAGAGTCATTTAACCCTGTTTTAGTTCAGCAAATAATGTCCAGAACTTTCTGTTAAATTGTGAGCAAAATGGTGTTAACATATGAGTATTGCCACAAGCTCGTTGCATGCAAATTATAAAGAAAATCTAATGACTAGATTTTCTACAAATAGAAAAAACTAATTTTAAAGGCCTATTTATATTTATTCATGGTGCCATGGCAACGGCACATACGTCAGCTTAACTATCAAAAACCAAAGCTTGTGTTGTTAACTTGCTTGCTGCCATTTTTGGCGACCGAGGTGTCAAAGGTATTAGAGAAAAAGGTGAAAGAAACACAGGTATCAAAAACTCTGTTCAGCCACCTTAATTGCCTAACCGAATAGGAAAGTTGTTTCATAAAGTAAATACCGCTTCTGCGTAGTTAACTTGACTAAGTGTATGCCATGACGATAAAGATAATAGTGTTTAGAGGGTTCGGGATGAACTGCGACGATAGTTTTTCGGAGTGCGAACTGGATTTTCGCGAATGACACAACAATAACGGGGGAAAGTAGCTTTGTAGAGCGACTCGGAAGCTTGAACGGTAACTCGTCACTATGAACTATTGACCTGATTTCAGGGAAAAAAAGTTTTTCCAGTAACAAAGCACAATCAAGCCAAAAAGTTGAGAAAACTCTTTCTTTTTTTAATTTCTCATTCGACAACAAAACAACATCTCTAAGAAAGAAAACCTATATTTACAAAGGATCACCGTTCCACTATCTACGAACTAGAATCCCTCAAAGTCGCTTTCAATGTTACTGTTTCCAAAAATACTTCGATATTCGCTTTCGTGAATCTCCTTCTTCATCAACTAATTCAGCCTCCTCATCAGTGCCGAACGGGTCACTAACATCGTCATCTTGCCACAAGATGTCGTCCTCCGTTCCATCAAGGGAACTGGAAATGCAACACCTGAAGAATGACCGCACAATTGTCGCATGTGAAATTGCCTCCCAGCTTTCCAAGATCCACTTCCAGATCAACTGTAAATCTGGCTTCTCCATGCGCCCTGCAGGTGCGAGACAGTGCTCTCCATCAAGCATCCATTTGTTTCATTGCTGCCGAAGTTGATCCTTAAACGGTTTTTTTTTATGCCAACATCGACGGGGGCAGAATGCTTGTATTCCCTGGTACAGGCGACCTCTTCGAGTGAGCTTGTACGAACGTCAAGGACGAGACAATCTTTTGGTTCCACAGTAAACTTTATTCTATGTCAGGCCAACAACTGACTTGACCTTGAGCGTACTCAAGGATAATAATCAAGGTAATCAAGGATGGTAATCAAGGATGTAATCAACAAAGCTTTAAAACGTACTATCGAGCGCGTGGTTCTATTGTTCTCTAAATTGACAATATTTGAGTAGGATTACAACAGAAACGGAAAACATCTCTTTGAAATTAAATGATTTATATTGAAATATTCGTAAGTCGAAAATCAAAGAGCAGGTTCGATAAACTTTAGGCCATTAAAACTAGGAAACTTAAATGAAAATTCACAACTTCGATATTGAAAGTCTGCCCACGGTAATTACAACAGAGCAGCTTATAAATTAAGATGAAAATTATAATTAAAGTTTTCTGCTTATCTAAGCAAGGTTGGTGTTAAGTTTGATCGTAAGAAAGGAAATTGGAATTACGAGTATAAGCTCAGCTGCCAGCTACCATGAGAGCTAACTTTATCGGAAAGACCATTGACAATATTATTTACCCAAATTTCACTACAATTGGACAAGGAAAGTACCGAGATGCAGCTATACAAAGCCTACTATGGGATCTTAAGTTGCCTTAAGTCGCCCAAAGTCGCCTAAAGTCGCCTAAAGTCGCCTTAAGTCGCCTAAAGTCGCCTTAAGTTGACTTGAGTTGCCTTAAGTCACTATTGGTTACGCAATGTTATAAGGGTTCTACCCTAATCCCAATTGACCCCATTCACCACACTTTAATCATAAGGATCAGAGGAAGAGGCATGGTGGCTGAATGGTTAGTGCACTGGACTCGACATTAGTCCAGTTTTGGTGTCTAGTGTTAGAGCATTGCATTTCGTTCTCGGGCAAGATACTGTAAGCTCAAAGTGTCTCAACTTTTCCAGGTGTAAATATGGGTACTGGTTGGCAGGGGAGAGGTAACCTCTGCAATGGACTATGAGTTTAATTATTTTTGTTGTGAGGTGGGCAATGGCTACCATATACATAGAAACTCCATGTGAAAATAGTCATGCACCTGTCTAGCCCCTGTGTTGGCATGGGTAATTCCTACATGTAGACAATACTGATGTAGGAATACGACAATGTATACTCTTCCATTTTCTTACTAAGACAAAAAAACTATCTGTTTCAACAAAATTTCTCTCTTGTATTTCATGATGAAAAAGTTGACAAAAGAGTTGACACTATGTATTATCATCAGGATATAACAAATATTGAATCACATAAAACCTACAGTACCAGATCATCAAGATAAAACGATAGAAAGGTATTCCGGAGAAAGGCTCAATTCTTGCCACTCACTTATACCTTGAGCAGTATAAATAACATTATCAAAAGTCAACTAAACTTAAATGAAGCTAAATTTTATCCACTTAACTTACCCAGAGTAAATGAATGACAAAAGTGGGCCATTTCTCCAGCATAAACCCATTAATATGTACTAGCTACTTCCAACGTGGTATTCGACCAACTGAAAACATTTGAACTTTGTAGCTCGACGAACCTACTAAAGGTGTAAATATTTATCTATCTTGAGACTTTGATAGTCTTTTTGTACATTTTATCTTCGTCAGTTTGATGATAAACATACATGAACCACTTCTAAGCCAAGAAAAGCCTTTTACGGCAAACATGGCCGCCAGAAATATTTGATCACGTGACTTAAGTTTTGTCCCGTGACCAAAGTGCACGTGAGAA